GCGGCGCTGCCCTCTCGCTGGGGAGGGCCCTGGTGGCACCTGAAAACTGGGGCGCCTTCCTCCCCAGGGCACGGCGGTTTGCCAGGGCACGCTTCTTGGCTCTTCTGCGTGGCTCAGCGTGCTGCTTTCTGGTCTTTAACTTCTTCCCATAGCGAGGGAGGGGAGCAGAAATCAAGTTTGTTACTTACCTCATTTGCTTTCCCGTTCGGGATCTTTTGTTGTCTCCAAAATATGCTTTTGTACTCTGGGCTTTGATTCAGGCCTCTCGCTTGGCTGCTCTGGTGAAGTGGATCTGACTTTTGCCAGAGCTGAAACTATTCAAGGGATCTCCAAAACGGTGCGAGATCCTTGCTATCTTCCCTGTCTTTAAGAGCCGAATAACTTCACAGACTAACGCGTCTATTTTAGTGACTAAAATTCGAATCCATGCCCTGTGTGGCTGGATCTTTTGGGGCACGTTACAAATACTGAATAGTCCTTAAAGTAAGGGCCCCTCTTCCTTCAGAGGCCAGATTCTGATCTGTTAGCCTCTTCTGTTTTACAGCATGCTTTGCAGTTCAAAGTGAGCTTCAGTTTTCTCTGAGTAATCTGACTTGCAATGCTATGTGAGAACCATAACCTTACTGCTGTAACCCTTGTCACCTGTGTGTGTGTTCCATGTACAGTGGTTAATCTCATTACAGGTGTTACCTTACGGCACATATGCATTAATATGTGCAAATATGCCTGCATAATGTTAATAGCATGCCTTTGTCCCTTGTTCCCCATTTTGTAATGGGGAAAAGTTTTACTTGACCCCAGGCAGAACATTAACATGCTCCTTTTGGTATTGTCATACATGTGAGAAAGAAAACTACTGTTGGCTCTTTGACAAACCTAGCAGAAAGCCTTGAAAACCACAGTCCTTTTGAGGGCTGGCTTTTAGTTTGCCTTTCTGTTGCCTTCATGTATGCAGGTTCTTCCAGAATGTAAGTGTCATGTGAAAGCATGAATGCAAAAAGTGCTTCTTTCAGATTTAGTTCAGCCTGCATGGGTGCATGGGATGACAGTGCACTTCTGTGTGTTCTCTTTATGTGGTACTGCAGTACTCCTCTCCTTGTGTAGAGTCCGTATGGGGGGAGCTGCTAGTGTTTTCTCCATGGGAATACATGTTGGAAAATAATTGAGTAGCGTAGGCATGTTGAATGACTGTTGTCTGCAGCCTGTTTCAGTGTGGGATGGGTAATAATTAAATCTAAATTAGCATAAAGGAGAGTAATTTTCTGCAGTGGGAAGGTCCTATGCTCTGTGTGCTACTGGAATGCTAACTTTGGAGCAAGCTGAGCAGGGGGAGCCCTACATGGGCGTCAGGCATGGCATTAGGGATCATGAACTCCTTGAGTTTAGTGGAATGACTTTTGTGAGAATTGAGCTGAGGTTGCTGAAATGAATACTTTGCCTCAATCTTCCATGTGTTTTCAAGATTTCAATGGCAATGATCACTCAAATTCCAAACTTGACTCTCCTATGCTAACAGAAGATCTAATGGTGGTGGATTCTTCATCTGACATAGACATCCTAAACTAGGGTTTTAGTGACTTAATTATTGTGTGGTCTTTCTTTGTCCTGGTTCAACAGATAATCTCAAGTGTCTATTTCTTCTAGAAAAATAAATGAGCCCATCAGTTGGTAACTCATTGGTAATTCTGCAATGAACTGCTGTACCTCAAAGCCTGTCTCTTGAATGTGCCCTACCTGTGTTGCCTAAACCAAAGTAATTAGGAAACAAAGTTTTGGATTCTTAAATTGTTACAATAAAATGTAATTCCCATATGCAAGAATGTGAACATCCTAATCCCCTTGATCAATGGGTTTGATTACAAAAGGGTTGTTGGTTTCAAAGTCTGGTGATTAGATGAAGTGGATATGAAGATGCTCAGATATGCTTCTTTCACAGGCTGTGTACAATTCAAGATCTGAAAAAATGGCAATGGCAGCAACTGATCCGCAGCAGGTATGTCTGAGTTAAACCATAGTTTTTTGTCTAGTTCGGAAAAATAGGACTCGACTAACCTCTTTCTCCTTTGAACAGAACATTGTCTCAAGGGTTGTCAACCTTCCCTTGGTGAGCTCCACCTATGATATGGTGTCCACAGCTTATGTCACCACAAAGGATAACCATCCTTATCTGAAGTCGGTGTGTGAGATAGCAGAGAAAGGAGTGAAGACAATTACTTCAGTAGCCATGACAAGTGCTATGCCTATCATCCAGAAACTGGAGCCACAAAGTAAGGCAAAGATGGGGCTGTTGATAACTTTAATTCAACTGGTCGCTCTATATATCCAGTGCACTTAGTTTAGTGTGGTCATGCTGGTCTGGAGTGCTGCTTCAGGTAACTGACTGAATCTGTTGCCTGGCTTGTTGAGTAACTTGTTATAGGTGGGTATGATTTAACAAACAAATCCAGAGCCGAAGCAGATTCCAGGTTTTTAATACTAAACTGACTGACTCATCTTGGTATGTAAGATGGTTACATAGTCTCTTGTTCAACACCTTCCTCACCTTTCACCTCGTTTCAAATGCAACTTTGTACTTTTGCTCACACAGAACAACTTGTGGTTAAATTTGGCATTGTGTCGCAAGGCTGTTGTAGCCGGGAGCCTGGTTTCACAAGTGGCTTCAGCTTGTTCTGACAGTAGCTTGTAAAATACCGAATGGATTTTCCCTGCCTACAAGAGAGCTTTTTCCTGGCATTGTAAACCTGCCTTGTTTTTGGGCTTTGCTGCCTTAAATCTTACTGAAAAAGGGGAGGAAACTACTTTAAGAGCATTGCTGCATGAGCTCTGTTTCAAGAGAAATTCTCAATTTGAGTTACTTACACAAAGGAAAAGAACAAAAATTAAAACCAACTATTGTAATTTCTTTTATAGTTGTAGTTGCCAACAACTATGCATGTATCGGTCTAGACAAAATTGAAGAGAGACTGCCTATACTGAATCAACCCACTGACAAGGTAAGTTCTTCCCATGTACATACTCTAAGTAGAAGAACTATACAGCCTTCCTCTTCTGTTATCACTAAAAATACAGGGAAACAGACTTCAATAAGCCACACTTAGAAGCAATGAGGAAGTAGAAGGTGTTTCTGTAGAACTGATTGTTGCCTTGGGGAGGCCATTAAGCCTGTTTGCTTTTTTTTAAATGTTCCCACCTTTTGACACATCTGTCTGTAGCTGCTGGGCTCTCTGTTAAAAAATTTGAGTCCTTGTCTCTTTCCTGATCAGTATGAAGCAAATAGTGCCTGAATTACATTGACTGAAGTGTTTTGAGCTGACAGCTGTGTGGCAGTCATGTTTTGTATTGTACATATGTTTCAAGGCAGAATTTCTCCTAGATAACCAATACTTGAACAAGCTTTAGTATAGATTTATATTTTCTGGTTTATGTAGCTCTCCCTTAAAAATATTTCTAGTAAATCAGCTTGTTTCCTATGGCAGGTTGTTGCCAATGCCAAGGATGTAGTTGTTGGAGCCAGAGAAGCTGTAACAACCACTGTGACTGGTGCCAAGGAAACTGTTGCTCACACAATCACTGGAGTTGTGGGCAAGACTAAAGAAGCAATGCAAGACAGTGTGGAAATGACCAAGTCTGTTGTCAATGGCAGCATTAACACTGTCCTGGGAAGTCGTGTGGTGCAGATGGTGAGCAGTGGAGTGGACAGTGCTCTCACTAAATCGGAGACCCTTGTAGACCAGTATCTCCCACTTACAGAAGCAGAACTAGGTAAGACCAATTCAAAGTTTGATTTTGTTGGAATGCTTGTACTGGAGAGAAGCAAGCAATCATCCATTTATTACTTAGCTGTAGTGGGAAGGGGGCATGTGATTCCCAAACTGCCTTTGGCCTTGCTGGTTGTGATAGCATCTTCTTCACAGGGAAGCAGCGTGAACGTAAGGATACTTACACAGGGTGGTCTATCAACCCACCCTGGTGCTAAAGGACTACTAAACAAGTCCAGTATTCAGCTGTTACTAAGCAAATAAAATTGCCTCAGACCTCTTAAGCTTTCTTCCAGTGGTCAGTTTGCTTCCTTTCTACATATCTAGAGAAAGAAGCTGCAAAAGTTGAAGGTTTTGAAGTTGGAGTTCAAAAGCCAAGCTACTACATTAGACTAGGATCCCTGTCTTCAAAGGTCCGCACACGTGCCTACCAACAAGCCTTAAACAAAGTGAGGGATGCTAAACAGAAAAGCCAGGAAACAATCTCTCAGCTCCACCACACTGTCAGTCTGGTAAGTTTAAGCTTTCACTTGAAGTATAAAAAATCAAGTTTTTGCATAGTTTGAGTGCAGAAAACAGCCAAAAGAGGCACAGGAAAACTGGAATTGCTCTCTCAGACTAAATGTATTTTCTAAATATAACACATTTCCCATTTGGAGCTCTTTACCACCATTCAGGAGAGGTCCTAAATCAGGCTGAGCTGTAAAGTAACCAGCAATTGCTTGTAATTTTAAGCACTGCAGAAACAGAAGTGACACGTTTAAAATGCCGTTCCTGTTTTAGAATGCTGGGTTTGACACAGACTTCATTCAGTGAGGAAAACATCTTGCAATTTAGAAACACTTCAGTTCTTTTAACTTCTTTTTGTTAATAATACATCAGATTCTTCATGGGCTTGCTCTTCTTGCTGTGGGTATCTCTGAGCATTCCTGGGTACTTCAGTAGTCTTATTCTAACAATGTACCTTTATGTACAGGACAAACTGTGTATAAAAAGTCATGGCCTTCTGTACAATTTCAAATCCTTGTGTAGGATGCGAGTGGGGGAAGGGGAAACAGTTGAGGCAGAGGAATACAATACAAAACATCTCAAAACTGCTTCCAATTTTCTCTTCTTTGAAGAGAACACTCTTACATTCCACGAAGTCTCTTACACTGAACTTTTAAGTATTTAAAAAGGAGGCTAAAAAGCGGGTAAGGTAGGGTAGCCTTGATGGAACTGTTTGGACTCTTTGCTTTACTTCCTTATTTGGCTGTATTTCAGATCGAGTATGCCAGAAAGAACATGAATAGTGCCAATCAGAAACTTCTTGATGCTCAGGAAAAGCTTTATCAGTCCTGGGTAGAATGGAAGAAAAATACAGGCCAAAATGATGGTGATGAACCGCATAGCGCTGAGGTAAATAGATGTAAATGTAAACCAGAAACAAATGGATTGTGTACTGTCAAGGTAATGGCAAACAGTCCCCAAAGTGCACAGCATCTTAACAGCACAGAAGCTTATGTGCAAATGTGAAATGTGAATGCTGAGGCTCAGGGCAGCTATTAGTGACTGCTATGAAAAGCAGGGGACATCCAAACCCTTAAGTGAGCCTACTTCCTGCGAAGACTCTGGTGTTCATTCTCTTGCAAGAGAATGCTCATCCTTTTTAGCATGTGAGCCTGTGTCAGGATAATCCATATCTAGATCAGCAAGGATTCACTTATCTGATATGGCCAGACCAGAAATAACAATTTCTCAGCATACAGCAGCCTTAGGCACAGGCTTGCTGAGTCGTATATGTAGCTTTAAACAGTAGTTCATTGATTAGAATATATTTGACCTGCTGTGACTTCTTATCCAGAGTTGAAATGAGAGCTTGCTTATCTGTCATGGGGTAGAAGCTACCAATGTTTCTGTTCCACAAAGTACTTGAGCATCAAAGAAATACCAAGTACTTTCAAATCTCTGACTCTCAGACTTAAGGCTTGGTTTATTATCTGCTATAGCTTTATTTTATGTACATCCCCTTTACTTTGCTTCTTTATGTATCTTGAGCAACATAAAGCTACTACCATCATAAAAAATGTTATGCTTTTTGTTTCCAGCACATCGAGTCAAGAACTCTAGCTATTGCACAGAGCCTCACCCAGCAGCTTCAGACCACCTGCCTCACGCTAGTCTCAAGCCTACAGGGGCTGCCACAGAATGTGCAGGATCAGGTTTACAGTGTTGGGTCAGTGGCAGGTGATGTCTACCAGAGCTTTCGGTCAGCATCCTCCTTCCAAGAATTATCAGATGGCTTTCTTACCTCTAGCAAAGGACAGCTGAAGAAAATGAAGGAGTCTCTGGATGATGTGATGGATTATCTTGTTAACAACACGCCGCTCAACTGGCTGGTAGGTCCCTTTTACCCACAGCTGCCTGGCATTCAGCATGCTGAGAACAAAGGTGAAGGGGAGAAAAATTCCAGCCAGAAAGACAAACAGCCTGAACACACTGCTGAATAAACTGCCTAGCATGCAGGTACTCTGCTGACTGACCAAACAAGTGGCCTTAGCAAGTGTAGCTGTCAAAAGCCTCTGAGAAAAATTTGTAAACGTATGAGTGGGGGAATGATACATGGCCTGTACTGTCCTGTAGTTAAACCACTCTAAAAACTCAAAACTCTCTCAAATGCTTAATTATTGGCAGCTTACAGTTGACAAGATGCCTTGTTTGTCCGTTAAGAAACCTCACCATGCTTATTAACAGTATTAATAGTCTAAGTGAAACCTACCATAGCTAAAAGCATTTGATTTGTTGCTTAATCTGAATGATATAAAAGCCTTACATACTATGAAATGTGTTTCAAAAGCCCTGCAGTCTAGCTAGGTACGCTTAAATTCCATGTTTGCTGCAGATCATGCATTTGATTGTTGTTAATCTGTCTCAAAATCTACGGCTACACAATTATAAAAGTTCTGTAAGTGCAGCATTTCAAAGCTGAAAGTGGGGTTTCTGAATGAGTCAGCTGGAGTTACTTAAATGCTGTGACAGTGCTAACATTAACTATATAAACTTAACTATTCTGTAACACAGTAACCTGAACTATTGTGAACTATAGCCTGACCACAGAATCATAGAGTATCGCAAGCTGGAAGGGACCCATAAGGATCATCGAGTCCAACTCCCTGCTGCTCACAGGACTACCTGAAACTTAACCATATGACTAAGAGTGTCATCCAGGCACTCCTTGAACTCTGACAGGCTTGGTGCTGTGACCACTTCCCTGGGGAGCCTGTTCCAGGGACCGACCAAATAATTATCCATACATTTTTTTTAATATGCAGTATAAAGACAAGATTCATGCTGTTTGTACCCAGGTGCCTGCTGTTTTGTGGGTGATTGGTTTTTTTGTAGTAGTCTTTTTGTAATTCATTTTGTATGTTAGTAATAAATGCTTCAGTAGCAAAAGTCTGTCTCCATTTCAGTGGCGTTTAAAACAAATGTAACTTGCTGTTCTGTGACTACTTCAAACTGGGTCTGGCAGAAAGCAAGCCTGAAATGCAAGTGAAGTAGACACGCATTGAAAATGTGTTTGTGTGTGTGCAATGTATAGATAGGTAAGATATTGCTGCAGCATTTCCTTCCTCCCCTTAATTCCTGTGCATGTTTCTGTTCAGTCTTTGCTTTACTGCTGCTTTTTTGCTGCTTGCTGTTGCCTACCTTAATGATGACCTAAGCTGTGAGTTGATGGATGTTCTCATATTGAGAAGAGAAGGATATGGGCAAGAAAACCCTGTCCTGCCTTCACAGTAGGTGTTCTGTGTGCGTGAAACTGCCAGCTGCCTGCTTTGGCTGCTGGCTCCCTATAAACAGTGTATACTCTTCACCTGCAAACACCAGTTTTAACCTGTTTAACTTTACCCTCTTTTGAACTTGAGTGACTAATGTACATTAACACTCAGCTACTTGGGTGGAATTGTTCCTCAATAAATCCTGTGAATCCCTTCCCTGGAGGAGAATTACAGTCACTAAGAAATAAGCTTTCTTGTTTTAGGGCTGTCCAGGTAAGGTATGTCTGTGTTCTTAATGGATGCCCTGTGCAACTTTGAGTTGCAGTAACTTAGTGTACCAATGCTGGCCACAATTTTCAAAGAGGTCACCAAATAGTGTGGGGGGGAAAAAAAAGAGGAGTTCAAAGGAAGCTTGTCACCTAGTGACATGTAGCTACCTGGACCGATGCCTCCACCTAGTACAATGCAGGCATTAAAGCTAATTACGTGTAGTCAGGCCTTCTAATGTGAGAAGTCAGGGTTGATCTAGAAGTGTTGAGAAGACTGTGTTTAAAGCACAGTATTAAATAAAATCGTAACAACAGAGGATTACAGGTAAAGCTGGAAGTTACAGAATCTTACTAAATACTTGCTTTATGTGAGTGAGCTGTTTAACATGAAGTTAACATGAGATGGTGACATACTCCTTTCCAGCTAGAGCCTGAGTTAAGAGTTCTGGAATTCTTTCAGCAATTAGTTCTCTTTAAGTACTGAGTGAGTCCAGCCAGAGAATATCTTTATTTTTTTTTTTTTTAATCTCAATTTGTAATAAAATTTGTACAGTGCATCTGCTGTTGTAGAGGTGCTCAGGAACAGAAGGGGACTAAACAGGTCTGGGGCTGCTGGCAGTTTGAAGAAGGGAATTCCCATCCCTTTATGTATTTTAAAATATGAAGGCTGTGCGTCTTTATTCTGAGGTGATCAATCAAGTAAGATACTCAAACTGTTCACTGTCTTTTGAGGACTGAGAAATAAACAGCACCATCTAGTATTGATGTAAGGGTGATACATCTCTCTGCCTTAAGCTGCACTACTGTTCCGTAGCTTTGCTAAATGTCAGCAAGCAGGTGAAGTAGAAAGCAAGGAAAAATGTGACCAGCCTAGACCTTCAAATCATTTCTCCCTCACCATGCGCTGTTGGGTGGCATCTGTGTAAAAGTTACTTCGACTTCTGTCAGCTGACCTACAACTGGTGGCTGCAAATAGAGGGATGCTTGGTTAAATGCTTACCTAATGGTTGGGCTAATAGCCCGCTATACCAAAATGCTGTACAATGGTTCGTATGCCACGCTGTTTTGGTGTATGGTTGTTTTGCTGGATCCTGCCCCCTGCTGAAAGTGTCCAAGTTTCTATCCACCCCCACCATTTGAATTAGGAACCTTCCTTGGAAGAAAAGAGCTGCATAACAGCACATCAGTGCCTTCCTGGTTTGTTACATTGAATGAAAGTCTCTGGATTGAAGTTATTAGGCTCTCCTAGTAAGGACAGGGCTGGATGTTTGAACTGAATTGTAACTGTAGCTTGCATGGGTATCTTCTTGCTGGTAGTCCAGTACAGCATATCCTTAGACTCTAATTACAGACAGTCTACAGACAAAACTGGGTATTTTTCTCTTGCATGGTTAGAGAAAGTGATTATTAAAATGCCCCCTGGAGGCAAGAATGATGTGGACACCTTCCAAAGCCATCTTTGGGGATTTTTGCTCACAGTGGACTGAAGCTGAAGTGCATGCTAGTAACAGCTGACAACTCTCAAAGAGGAGGAAAACCTAAGATACTAACAGAGCAGAGCCTACTCATAAATTTTTCCTGCTATCTTACTTGTTTCTCTATAATTGCATATATCAAACAGCTCAGCTACTCTGCACAGAAATCTTACTTGCACTTAGTCCAAAGCAGCTTCTGAGGATTAGCTTGAGGTAGAAAGCTGAAGTATCTCTGGAACCTTTTAAAAAAGGTAAGACCAGATATGTTGAAAATTACAGGAAGTAGTTGATCCTATTTGCAGCAAGGCAGATGAACTAGATGAAATGGAACAGAGTGTCAGAGGCTGCTAGTCACACAAAAACTGGGATGGTAAAGGTTGGAATACTAATGAAGTAATTATCACTGGTAAGGTTATTTAGCGTTTATTCAGAATTCAGAAAATTATGGT